GCCGGGTCTTAAAGCAGAACCTCGTACTTTTTAGACAGAATAACGTCTTCCACAGCTCATTAGCTCTTAGTTACACATAACAGACGTACCATTTCAGCTTACACAAGACTTATGACACAATTTCAGCTTTTAAAACATTGCCAGCCCAACGCTTAAACATGCAGCGTTTAGTTGCAGAGTGCAGCTCCAAGCGCGCAGCTCAGCCGCTGCGTAAACTTTACAGCTCATCAGCTGTTACTCTTTCACCATGCCAACACGTAAAATCAATTTACACACGGATTTAACAGTCATTCATGAAATTCGTACGAGCCACCAGTTTGTAGTGAGTCACGTGAGGTACGTGTCACTTGTTGTATGACAAATATATGAATTATATATGCATACAATATTCACGAGTTCTTCATTTTTCTGACTGTAAATGTCGTGCATTGAATTTAACAGAAATGTAACGAGAGACGTTGTTTATCTTTGACCCATCAAATGAATGGAATCATTTATTTTCAGAATCAAAGTTTAACATCAAACATTTACATTAATTTGGCAAAATATGAAAATAATAACAGACAGTTTCACAGAAAATGAACTTCAAATCACTCGGCGGTGATTTGAGGACTTTGCTTAAGATATTTCTAAAATATCTGTACTGATTTATGAGAGAGAGGTGGGTTTTAGAGTGAAAGGAGATTATCTTACAGAGAACTGTGTGAGGGAAGTTTAATCTGTTTAACCAGAAATTGCACGCTCCGTCAGATCCTCAGCCCGTCCACGGTACACTTTAGTCGAAGAAGAAGCCTTTACCTGGTTTGACGATAGATCAGCTCAGTAAGCATCCTTCAGACTGTTTCCAGCGCCTCCGTTAAGCACAGCTAAAAATCCTCGGAGAGTCGTGCGTGGTTAGCTCAAAACAGACTTATAATCCCAAACGTCCCTGGTTCTTCATAACTCCAAACTCTTCATAACCGGTTGCATCTCTCAGAACTCTCATTCTCTTGTCAGCTCTCATTCTAACTTGAACTGGGCAGTTGTCACATTTTAAATGAGTTTACTTCCTGTTCAGTTTAGAGCTTTCTGATTCGTGGAAGGACCAGAAAGAGGTGTGTTTTTGACGTAAGGTGTTTATCAACAGTCGAGGTCAGAGAATGAAACTTGTTTAACATACAGAAAAGATTATTGCAGAAGCGGCAGACTTTCTGGAGTCTACTCTTGGTAATCTTCTGAAAAAGTTTAAACATGACATTTCTTCTTCAGTAAACATTTTAGTTGACCGAAGACCAACCTTTCACATACTTACGACAGCTTGCTCATTTCAGACAGAAAATCAAGAAAGGCATATTCAGGTGATTTCTTCTCTGAATGAGGAACAAAAATCATTACTTACTGTTTATGTAAAAGCAAAATTAGTAGTTCTTTTCAACCTGTAAAGCATTGAGTGAACTAACACAATTTGATTATCAAAACATTTGTAAGACAGTAATGATTATAAAGAATTGTCTTTTCTGCTTGATTAATTCAAGAAAGAAAGTTCATCAGATGGTTCAGACTTATTCAGATCAATGAAAATAACAGTCTCTGTCCATCTGGTATATTTGAGGTCATCTGGTTCACTACATGAGCACCAATTTCCAAAAAGAAAAGGTCAACCCGCTAGAGAGCACAGGGGGGGGGGGGGGTCGCATAGTATGTCTGTTTAGAAGTTGTAAAAATGTCAAATAATTGTCTGTGTAACAACTTTAGAAAATATGCTTTTATTTTCAATTATAATGTTTGAAATTTCACAAAATCCTAACACTAAAAAACCTTCATTTTGGTTATGTTTGAAGAGTTTCCTATAACATATTATGTTAAAAACTAACATCAGTACTGTCACTTTAAGAGCGCTTTTTATGACGTCAGTACTCAGCGTCCAGCTCTGAGTTGGCAGCGCGGCTGCCTGAGAAGAGGCAGAAAGTTATTGTTGCTCTTGGTTAAGCTCACGTTTATTAAATATATAACATAAACGTAAGCACGTGCAGTTGTAAATGTTTAAATGTGTAAAAACACACAGAGGAGTCATTTTTCTGATAACATAAGAACATTTTTCCCTAGTTTAGAACAGACACTGTTATTACTATTGGTGAAAGTCAGGAATACTTTCAGGAACAAGCAGTTGACATCAGAAAGCCTTTGAAAGAGCAGGTAGTGATGTGCACAGAGCTACACAAGCATCTTTTGAGTGTTCCCTTTTAATTGCTAAGGCTAAAAATCTGCACAATATTGGAGAAACCTTCTGAAACTGCCTGAAAATGGTAGAGTTGATGTGTGACAGGGCTCATGCAGTAGATAAAATAAAACTGTCCCGCTCTCTAATACTGTCAGAGTCAGTCAGCGTCAGAGTTTCTTCACTATCATTTTTTAAAAATTATTTATTGTCATTTCTTTATTGTCATATTGTCAAGGACATAATAGATAAAATAGCTGAAAATAGCAAAAATCAGCTGCATGATAGGATCAGGAAGATATCTTGACAAAACTAATATTTTTTTATTTTTTTCAGACTGTTTTTAAGATTACTCTGTTGCTAGTTTTTAAAGAAAAGTTATGTGAGTAATTCTCAACACAGTGTTCTTGTAGTTGTTATTTCTGTTGTAAAACTACCAGTTTATACAACAAAAAAGGTTGAATCATGTCATCTGGACTTCGTTTTTTTGTTAAAAA